CTGCAATTGGGTGAGATATAATGATAAACAAAAAGGGGAAATATCCCCAGAAATTAAATTAAAAGATATACTCAAAGTAAATTAGGAAAGACAACTTTTAAAAACCAAATAAGTGCATACTATGTACACTTGTGTTTAATGGATAGTCTGGCAGGCATTGCAATACAAAGAGATGTAAAATATAGCCCTTGCCTTCAAGGAGGTTATAAGGTAGTAAAGTATATACAGGGAAACGTCCCCACAAAACTTCTTTTATTTGTCTAGGAGCAGGGATGCAGAGTTGATGAAACAATGATCCACCTCTTTTTTCAATTCAACAATAAGCACACAAAAAATATCTCCCGGAATTAAACTATTAAATTGTTCCAAAGCAGACTAATCACTTAACCTTCAGACTGAAATGAATGACATGTTATAGTCTCATAGTTACATAATTTTGTCTTTTTTGAAAATAACAACTCAAGAAATTATTACATTGTGAAATTATTGCTCTGTGATTATTGATGAGGAAAGTGGGATCATATTTTAGTTAAATCAGAGTTGCCGAATGTTAAAATATGTAATACTATACCTTAATGTATCAAACATTACCTTGAAGGTCTAGAAATGCTGTCTTATGTGATATTTAATACTAATGGATGTTTTTTAATGACCTTTTAGAATTTTATGTTTACATTGCTGTTATTATTTGGAAAAAGAAATGTGTCTTGAAGGAAGAATCACCAGCGGCAAAATTAAAATTGGAATCCTATATTGTGGGCTTGTCTCTATCAGGTGTTTTGTTCAAGAGGAGCATCTAAAGATAGAATGTCTGTTTCCTTTTAGCCTTAAGCATATATTCTATAACCCTAGAATTCCATAACAGCTAGGTAACAAGGGGGCTCAGAAGTGATTGCACAATGTTCAGTTAATTGAAAATCACCTTAAGCCCTCAGCCTAACCCATAATATGGTGGAAAGAGCCCTGGATTTGGAGTCAAGGGGACTTGCATTCAAATTCTGATTCTACTACTTATGTGTCCTTGTTACTTAATTTCTGTCACTTTAGTTTCCTTATCTGTTAAATGAGAAGTTTAGAATAAATTATCCCTCAAGTTCCTTAAAACTCAAAATCCTTTAGTTCTATGCATCCTTCAAAAGCCTGGGTTCAAGTTTAGTGGACAATATTTGGCCCTACTCGTTATACATTATTCCCACTGTGTTAACTATGCTTATCAAATTTGCAGATGAGACAATATTATGATAACTAACATATTGTACAACAAATGAGATAATGTATTGTGTGTATGTATACATGCATGGCACGTGAAATGCTGGCACGAATCTAATAAAATGAAATTTAATAGAGACAAATGTGAATCTCCCACGTGGGTGAGAGACATGAACCTTATAAAGATAAGATGGGGCAGGCAGGGCTAAATAGACTATAGGTCATCTGAGAAAGAGCCCAGTTTCCTCATCTAGAAAATGGCAATAATAACAGCATCTACCTCCAAGGATTGTTGTTAAGGATCAAATGACATAATAATTGTAAAGTGTTTAGCAGAGTGTCCTGGCACATAGTGTTATATAAATGTTAGCTATTATTATTGTTGTAGTTGTTGTTGTCAATATTATTATTGTTGTTGTTGTTGTTGTTGTTGTTGTTAGGCTACTAGCTCATTCAGAGTTAACTATTGCAATGATAAACCAAAAAACTCCATGATGCAAAGGAGAGTAACATATGGAAATAAGAGGTCTAGGCAAAGTGATATGATCATTGACTATAGCAAAGATGTTCTTAATATTTTAAATATTATTAGTAGTATTTTATCAGAACATGATCTTTTTTTTCTTTAGATGCATGTTAGGTTTTTTACATTGACTCTGATTTTATTAAATCAAGGAGAGACTAAGAAATATGCATACATGTATGTATGCACCAAGAGGCATAGGGTCCAGCATTAGAGAGAGCCTCACTCTATTCTAGCCTGGTCCCATTGACGATATTGTTTTCTATTCTGGATGCTGCATTACAGAAAGGACATTGATTGCGTTGACAAGCTGAAGACTATCCAGAGAGCAAAGCCACACAGTGGTAAAAGGGCGTCATGTTCATGCCATCTGAATCAAGTGAAGGAACTGGGGGTGTTTAGCTTGGAGGGGAGAAGCCTTAGGAAGAACATGGTGTCTGTCTTCAAATTGGAATGTGGAAGAGGGGTCAGACCTGCCTGGCTTGGCCCCAGGGGACAGAATTTAGAAGTTACAGATGCAAATGCACGCTGGACATCAGGGAAAGATTCCTAACAACTAAACCTATTGAGAAAAATGGCTGCAGAAGGTCGTGGGCTCCAGCAAAAGGTAGTTGGCCACATGTTGGCTTTGCTATAGAGGAGGTTTTTGTTCCAATATGTTTTGGCCTTGAAAAAATAACCCCTGAGGTCCCTTCTGACTTCGAGATTCTGTGATTTTGTGGCCATCTGAGTCCCTTTCCTTTATAACTTAAGGAGAATGAGAACCCATTAGTGATATTGACTCCCTAAGAGCTACCTCAAAATCTGTGCTAATTTACCTAAGTAGAGCAGGGGTGGGGAAAAGAATGTATCCATTCAGGCAATGTTTTAAAACAGTTGTGCCATTTTTTTTTCACTAGCATTCACTTGAAATAAAATACTCCCAAACCACAAAAGACATTCCCTCTAGTTCTAAAAATAACATAGCCTAAACATTGCTATGAAAAATTTTATTAAAAAAAAAGAAATTTGCTTTTATGATATATGTTCATATACTTGCTGTAGCTTGAACTCCCAGAGTGATGGCTTTATACATTGTATAAAAATATGTAGTGTTAAGATGTTTACTGAAAAATATTAATAGGTTTCTGAGTTATATAATTTAACTTCACTGTGACTATTTTGTAACAAAATAATATGTTTTGCTTGCTAGATTAGTCATGCACTCATACGGCTCTACAGGTGTATGGTGTGCATTGTAACATGCTGTTGAATTCCATGGAAACCCCGAGTAGGGTGTGGTCTGAGTGTGGGGGAGGTTGATCAGGAACAGTCGTTAACTCTTTAGTAATTTTCTTTTTTGAAAAATAAAGATGTCAGCTGTCCCTTTTTGCAAGACATTTAATTTAGAAGATTTTCCTGAAATACTTTATTCCCAAAATAGACAGAACTGTAGGCCGATTGTGTCATTTCAGTTAATCAAAACAAGTAGTCAAATTAGTCTCTTTTATTTTTTTTTAATGAATGTAATTTAACAGTATTTAATGTGCATACAGGAAAGTTCACCCCGAGGAAAAAAAAATCTGCATTATAGCACTTTTGTAAACCTCAACAAAGGCCTTTATTAGGAGACCTAATTACTTTTCTCTACCTATTCCTAAGGAGAAAAGCTATCACAGTACCTGCTCATTCATTCAGACAAGAAAGTGTGCCTGGTGGTTCAAGCAGAGACATGGGTGTAAGATTCCTGTGGCTCTCTTCTTGCTGGGTGATTGTAACAAACTTAGAGCAGCTCAGGTAATCTGAGTTCTCTTCACTGCCCTGCCTTTCTGGGCATTCAGGGAATACCACTCGGGCCCTCTTTTGCTTTAGCTTTCTTAATTTATATCAAAGAGGGCCTGCAATATCCTTCACTGGAGTTCTAACTTCCTCTAGCAACTATGATTCTGTGTTGAAATGTAGGAAATTCTTTATCTAGTTAGAGAAATTAGGCTTGGCTCCCTGGAAACCAAGAAGCAAGCTTTGAAGAAGTCTATATGCCTATGCCCCACCTCTTCAGAGAGACAGCAACTACCCGAGGAGCACCCATCAGGATCTTTGGTTTCTGTATGAGGCCTGCCCTGGCTGTATTGGAGTCTCCACTTGGGCTCATTACTCTTATAAGTGAGTAGGAGCTGCATTAATGGCTAAGGTGAGAACAGAGGGAAAACATACTAGCAGTGACCAAAATCTCTTTGCCATGTTGTAGACCTTGTGGGATAGGTATGCCAGGATATGTCTACTACTATCTCCTTTAAGCCTCTAAAAGTTGTGGGGGAAGTAGAATAATTTTCAACTCGTAGTTTATAGCTACTAGCAATACCAGAATAGGAGAAGAAGGAAAAAGAAAAAGGAATAAAAACTTTTGGAGGACAGCCATGTAGACGCACCCGGGCTCCCAGGAATTCTGTGCACACAGTATGAGAGATGAATTAAGAGAAATAAGGTGATCATAGAATATTAGAAAAGGGAGCAATCAGTCTAACTCCCTCATTTTGCAGATGAGGAAGCTGGGGGCCAGAGACAAGAAGCAGCTTGGCCAAAGTCATATGCAATTAGCCAGAGATCTATGTCAACTATAATTCAGGCCTTTTGGTTTCTACTCCCTTATTCTCCCTCCTATCTCACGTTAACACTGAGAAGACACCATAAGATTTACATTTTATTTAGATCATTGTATTTTTGTCTTTACAAATATACATACTTATATGTGTGTATATGTGTATGCATGTATATATGTGTGTGAATATATAGATACACACATATACACATATATACATATAGACATGTGTGTGTGTGTATGAGTATATATACCTCAGAGGCTTGGCCATGCAACAATTTTAATATTTTTTAGTCAAAGAAACTTGTGAAGATCATCTACTAAAGTTTGAAAAGAGTTTCATTCTCCTCATGGCATAGAGGCAACCCTAGATTCTCAAAGGCTTTACCAGTGGTTCACAAGCTCTGATAATTTCTGTCAACTTATACAAACTTTGATTAATGATCTAATGGTGTAATATCATCCTAAGTCTAGACTAACTAAGGGTAGAGAGACTTATCACTGAAAAATTGGCCAGGTAATTCATTTTTTAATTGTAATAACTCTAAGGTATGGAAAATTTGCACTTGATGTTGGTGAAGGGAGCATCCACATTGTTGAAATCATAACTCCTTTGAAGTAAAAAAAAAAAAGATATAAATATGTAAATTGACCAGTACTCTACAGATTATTCTTAACTGCATCCTGTAGATGTGAATGACATCATCACAAGGAACCAGAAGGAAGGTGTGTTTAAGACTCAAGCAATATCAAGCTGGTAAGAATTTTTTCAGTGTAAAAACATTTTGGGTATTCACAAGTGTGTTCTGATGCTTTCAGTTTCTGGATTGGTAAATGTAACTATAATGGAAACTATTTGTGATCTGAGATAGGAAATTCAGTTCCTATCTTAAGTGATAGGAAATTCAGTTAGATTTTTTTTTAATGTATGATGTTTAAGAAGATAAGATAGAATTCTTTCAAATTCTGTCAATTCTGACCTGAATGAATAATGGTATTCATCCTTGACCACCATCCATATATATGTATGTATGTATATTTGTGTACATATATGTATATATGTGTTTTATATGTATATATGTACAGAGAGAGAAATACATCTTTGTACGTTATTTCTCTGATCACAGTAACAGTTATGGAATCCAAGATAGACTAGTTTTATGTAAAATGTCTGTTTATGCATTTTACCATAGGCATTACTTCCAATATTGGTGGTTTTTTGGCCACATATTATTTTTCGATTATTTGGTATTTTAAGTTTCCTCTATGTCCAGGATACTTTTCTTTCTTCAGTAGAAAATGGGTGAATAGCCAACAGTATTTAAAAGCTGAAGTGATTGACAATATCAGACTGATGGGAAGTAGCAATGACTCTTACTTATAAGTGGGTAAATACAGTCTGTGGCTTTAAAAATGTCTCTTCTATTATGATACTTAGAGCAAGTTGACTGGAATGTGCAGTATTTCTCATTATTCTATATAAGATTGAAAAAAACCAATAATGTATCCATGTGGCCTTAAGCTTGGACTAGAGAAAAAAAGGAAGGTCAACCTTTAGCTATGTACTCCCTTCATTTATAGGACAGTGCTGACTACAGAATGGAGATTACCATACACTTTTTTTGTATGGGACTTCATCTTTTGTCATGATTTCAAACCTGGTCTTTTAGTTATCAATCAAAAGCACATTTTCTACATTGTCCTCATTTACATTTATCTAATGCTTAAGGTCATTTGTGACCATTTGAGTGAATTTCAGCATATGGAATCAGTGAATAATAGATTTCAGCTCCATGCTGTGAAGAAAGATTGTGTTTTTACAAGGCATAATGTTGTTTACTGGGTGTTAATAATCACTAATTAATAAACATATCTAGACTTCTAAAATGTTGCATTTTAAGGGATAAAAATGTCAAGTGTTTAACTTAGTGAGAGCAAGAGCATTTTCTGCATAAAATAATTAAATCACATAAAGAAATGGAATGTGGTGACTCAACCCAGAGCACATCTAAAATGCTCAAAATATGAACTTTTCTGTTCTTTAGCATGCCATCTCTGAAGACACACTTCTGAAATAGAAGGCAGTATAAACCTACGTACGTATATTGTACTTCCTAGGGCCCTCCATGATGATGGCTTTCCTCTTTTCTCCCATATTAATCATGGTCAGTTTCTTCTCTCTTAACCCCTGAAAGCATTTTGTCCAGACTCTCCTAAGGCACTTGCCCAGAAAATAGATGGACGAATCAAGCCCTCAAGTGCCCTGATCTTATATTAAGACAATACTTGACCACTTAACCTTCAAGAAGCTAAGAGGAAGCTGCCTCCTGTTGCTGTAATGTCTGCCTTACCCTCATAACCACTGCTTTCCCACCCATATCCAGAATGATAAGATGAAAGCATTAGCTCTATGAGAGAAGAATGAAATGAAACATTTTACAAAAGAGCTAAGATACAGTGTAGTATTCTTTTTTAATGCCTCGACACATGTGTAGAATTCCTCCTCCAAATTGGAGGTGTGAAATAACAGCAGCTACAAATTACTAAAAGGTATTTACCATAGCTACAAAGCCTACATGTGAGCCAAATATTTCTGCTATTAAGAAATATTTCAAAGCTTTGACATGGGAGGTTTGTAATGGCAAAATGTCTCCCATAACTCCACCTATGGAGGAAAAAGTACAAGAGGAAAGTAAAGTTGTGATGCCAGAAACATAAGAAATACTGTTTCTACCATAGAATGAATGAACTTCCTCATACGGCACATTTTTGTTCATATTATGCTCATTGTATAGGGAACGATTCCTACCTTAACTATTAGCTTCTCTCACAACTTCCCACTTCCTCCATGTGTCATAGCAGGTCCCTTCTCTAATAACTATCCTTTTCTAAAGTAACTTTCTTGCCCTTCACTGCAAACCCTAGATGCCTTACCCCATTTTAACCCCATGTTGTCTTCCAATGTGTATATACAATCTTAAACATGAAGGCTGTTGATGAGATGGGCTCGTTTATTCATTCAGCTGGTTATTTATAGCATACCTACTATGTGCAAGGCATTTTGCCTTGGGAGATGATAAGCAAGAAATTATTGAAGATAAATGCCAGACAAGGAGGTAACTTACGCAGGAATACCTAACCACTTAGCAAGTAGAAAGTCATGTACTCAGACTATCTTAATTGTTGGATTTGCCTTAAAATGTCTCCAAGAGTGTGAATGCTTCTTAAGGAACCCCAGGCTTCTTGCATTTGTGTATCACCAGGTCTTTCCAGTGAATATCTTTTGCTTGACGATACACTAATTATCTGCTACTTTTTTCTCCTTTCATCCAATTAATCTGACCCAATGCCTATTTAAAGTGGTATTTTTTTTACTTTTAAACACATTTAAGTTTATTTTACATTATTAACATTTTTTCTCTATCACTTTTTTTAAAGCAAATAATATGTGCCAGGTACTTTATTAAGTGCTTTATAGATATTATTTCATTTTTCCCACTTAATAGTATTTTATTTTTTCCAGTTCCATGTAAAGATAGTTTTCAACATTCACTTTTGTAAGATTTTGAGTTCCAAATTTTTTTTCTCCCTCTCTCCCTTCCTCTCCCCCACAAGACCGCAATCAATCTGATATAGGCTATACATGTACAAACATATTAAACATTTTAAAGTGGTATTTAAGAAATGAAGTGGGGGCAGCTAGGTGGCACAGTGGATAGAGCACCGGCCCTGAAGTTAGGAGGACCTGAGTTCAAATCTGGCCTCAGACCAAACACTTGACACTTACTAGCTGTGTGACCTTGGGCAAGTCACTTAACCCCAATTGCCTAAAAGAAAAAAAATGTAAAAAAAAAAAAGAAATGAAGTGATCTTTCTATAAAACTTGCACATGAAATGTAAGAAATGTGATGTGAGATGAACCATTCCAAACTGAATGAATATGGACTTCATTGCCACTTTCCAGCCTTCTTCATAATATGATCTTCAAACCCAAATAAGCGATCTGGGATTGCTCCTTGGTCTCCATTGTCAGTCTAGATTATGTCATTTTCTTTTAGTAAATAGCTAGTTTTCAGGAGTGCTTCAACGGCCATGCTATGAAATGATTGGAAAATATATAGTCAAATAAAGTAGAATATATAGGATTGAGTAGCTGGCTTTTGAGGTCCACATCTGTTGATTTAACTTTATTTCCTTGGGAATAGTCATGGTAGTGTTGTTATTGTTGTATAGTTTACCTAGATTTTAGTGAAACAGTTGGAAAAAACCTCTTTCAATTGTTATGGACAATATGACTCCTTAGGTAGATTTAGAGTTGGTTGAATGGCCAGATCCAAAGAGTAGTAGTCATTGATACTTCCATGTTCAAATAGAAGTTCTTAAATGGGGCATCACAGGAATCTGTGTTTGGCCTCGTGCTATTTAAAATGTTTGCCAGTTATCGGATGAAAGATGGCATGGTTATCAAGTGAGGTGAAACAGCTGACATGTTGGATGGCAGAGTTAAGGCCCCCAAAATATCTCAGTTGGCTAAAATGATCAGCTGGCTCTAATAACACTAAGTTACTAGGAAGAAATATAAAGTCTTGTACTTGAGTTTTTGAAAACAATATAAATTTATGAGATAGGCAAGACATGGCTAAATAACAATTCATCTAAAGAAGATCTAGGGATTTGCAGCAGACTACAAGCTCACTGTGAGTCATGAGTATGATATGGCAGCCAAAAATTGAGCATAACATATTCTTATACTGTATTATGAGAAGCCTAGTATTAAGAAAGCCTTAAAAAGATTCTGTAAATTGATTTTCTGCAACAGATTACATCTTCATAGGGATACATTTGACTAACATGTATAGATAATTCCACTGTCTTTGTTGATTATTAAAAAGCATTTAACCACAATAGAGCAAAATAGCCAACTAATTAAAGTTACCTAAGTGCATTTAAGGAGAGAAATGGAAGATGTCAATGAATATTTGTTATTAAAAAGAAAAACAAAAAGAAGAAGAAAAAAAGAAAAGCTCTGCAAGGATTTTTTTAAAAATAGCCAACTGTTTTTAAAATAGCCATCAAAGACAGTAGAGACATCATATCAAAGGTGTGCTGGTAAATGTTTAATAATGTGCTCTCCAGGGGGAAAATGTATACACAGAATGCACTTTTATGTTTAATCTTCATTCTTAATATTTTCCACATCAGCATTACTTTCTTAAGTCTAGCCAGTCAACACAATAATAATCAAGCCATGATTTGTAGTATTTGCAAATTTCTGAAGTATAAATGCTCACACTGAAAATTTAACCATTGGCTCTTATGAGCCAGTTGGAATGGACTCCACTGCACCCCCTACATCATGATACAAAGGAAATCTATGCTAAGGGGAGCACACTTGCAAGAAAATTGAGAGACAGATTCCCTCAGTATTTAAAGGAGGGGGAGATACTAACAGTCTTGGGGGAAAACCTTATTCATACCGAAAAAAGGCAACCTGAAAGATCAGCAATTACCAACTTATAGGCCTACTCTCCTATCTAAACAATATTTGGATGAAACCCATATACAAGTGAATTGAGAACATTCTCAATGAGTTTCTTTGTAAAGAATAGGCAAGCTTTTGCAAATAATATTCTGCAGCAAACCATGTCACTATTTAAGAACTGACAGATCTAGAGAGTATAGAATCATATTGTGTGTATTTATTGATTATGAGAAAACATTTGGTTCAATACAGTAAAACACTGCCTTAAAACCTTT